TATGAGTTATACAAAGAGCGTATGGCTGTGTATTTATCAGGGTATTTGAGTCTTTAGTGCTGTACTGTATTCATGAGTATGATTCTGTGAGCTAAAATGTATGGCCTTGTTTTGTTAACAGTCAGAAAGGAGCACACACTGAGTCAATACAGTGGACAACATAAGGTTAAGTTTTCACAATTCCCGGTCAATGGGCTACAAAAAATAGAAAGCCATCAGTTTGGTCTTTTGAAGACTGCTGCCAAACCGAACACTGCCTTGGAGCCCCTCACAGTTAAGGTTCTGTTCCTGAATATGCCCGGATATGAACTTGACCTAAGTTACCAAGCAACACAACCAACCCTTACTTTACTTTCTATCTTAATGCCTGGCATATACTGCAAATCAAAGAGTGTCACTCACAAAAACATTTTATTGTAGAAACATTTTTAAGAGACCCAAGTGTAAAAGTGAATGTTATTCAGAACATGCGTCTACAGCCTTTTAAACCTCTGAATGTAAGTGGAATGCTGCCATTCTCATTAACAAGAGGGCAGTCCCTGCCGCCTTTGTATTCAGAGTTTGGTCTCGGAACACTTTCCGAGTGAGTGGTACTGAAACAATTGATGTGCCACTCTAATCTCAACACTGCTGCTGAGCTTTGGATCTGGCTGTATTTGGCGGACAGTCTCCCCTTGTGGTGTGGCAGCCTGCAATGGCTCTGGTCTCTGTGGCACTTCATGGTTGCCAAAATCTGAAGGAAAGGTCATTTATTCTGCAGACACAGTGGGAGAAAAACACCCAGGTGTCTGAAAAATAAGCCGCCTGTGTCACACTGAAGTTATACATCCCTTCTGGGTAGTAGCTACTGGGCTGTGAAGCCTTTTCAGTTACTGATGCGTTATATTAGCTACATGCTATTTCCTTCTCCACAGTCTGTCACCTGTGTATATGAGCACAACTCATCAATGTTATTTTCCCTTATAAGTTGCTAATTTGGGCTTTACTGACAGTATGTGTGTTTATATTGTTTTTCAAGCTGCAAACGTTTGGTTAAACTTAGCTGTGATTTGATATTAGTTAGTCATTTTGTGTTTATAAGCTGTTCCACATCATTGTTAGCTCATCAATCAGGCAATGCCTTTTGCTTAATAAATGGATGGCAGGAGAGTGCTGCAGAAAAGAGAGCGCTCCAAACCCTCAAAAATCCTGGCAAGGACACCCCTACGCTTCCAGATGTCACACCACAAACTTCCAAACTGTATGTTATTAACATATGTCATGAGCCCAAGAAAAGTGTGAAGGAGGAATAATGTGTGATACTGAAAATCTGCTTTTTCTTACCTGTCAGTTGCATCTCAATATTGAAACTTAAATTAGTTTTATAAACAGATACACTGGACAATACTCAACAGAGATAAATAACATCATGTGGTAAATATGAAATACTCATTTGGTTTGAACTATTCATGACAGGCCTTCATATCCGCTCTTTGATTTAAAACAAATCTTTTATCTTTTATTTAATTTTTATTTATTTGTCTTTTTAAAATTTCCCATTGTGAAACCCTTTGTACAGAATTTACAAAGTAGGTCATTCAATTGATCACACACACACAAACATCGATGAAAGAACATTTCAATATAAAAGGTGATTTATGTCGTGCCCCGCCTTGTTTTATCCAAGCCAGAGTGCTCGGCCCTCAGCTTGGCAACGTGTGTCAGCCTACATTAGGTGGACGAGTGAACAATGGCCTCAGCCAGGAGCAGGTGGTGGTTACTTGAAACTCTGAGAGGAGGGTGTGCATTAGTGGCTGTGTGCATGTGTGTGTGTGTGACAGAATGAGAGAGACTGGTCTGTCTGCCATCTGGAACGCCGGGACAATCCCAGGTGAGGCGGAAACTTGAATGTGCTGTTTTCTATCAGTTCACTGACTGGCCTTTCTCCTGAATCCAAACACTTTTTTTGTTTTTGTTTTTCTGAGAGGATCCAGTGGTTCCTCTCTATGCCTCTAGTGATGGCACACAGCAATTTTGAGAGTGTGAAATGAGCCATTACAAGGTGTGCTTCACCCCCTCTTAAAGTGGACCGACCCAAAATGAGATCAGCGGGCCAAGTCAAGTCAAGTTTATTTATAGAACATTGTCGGCAAACAGATTCGTATTTTTTTAACGGAAAACAAGGGTCAACATAACAAGGGTTTTTGTGTGTGTGTGCTTATACGAGTGTGTGTGCCTGATTTAGAGTATATCAGAGGGAAAAACTGTTTTTTTTTTCTGCAAGTATCATGCTGAAGAAACAGGAAATGACTGACAGCTGAGAGTAAAGGCAGGTTATGAGAAATGCTGATTAAAATAACTGATTTTGAATTTGTTTTTTATACTGGACCATGTCATCGTTTCTAAATCAACGTGAGTCAAACTCTTTTGCACTCTAAAAAAAGTGACTTGCTGTATATATTTTCATTGTGTTGTCTGATGAGGGACACCCTGCCAAGCAGCTTTACTTCTGTGATTGAATTGACGTTGGGCTCTTATTAGCATAGGTAGGCAACTTTAAATAAGCAATGTTAATTTTATAAATAATGCATAGACTGCATTTTTTCAAGCCATCTGATAATCAAGCTAAAATGCAATCTGAGACCCCGTGCCTTTGCCCCAGAAATGTGAGATCAAAGATTTGACAAGTGATAAATGTCAAATACATTTAATTACAAATGACACGTATATATTTATAACAAAGTCCGCTTTTCAATCACACACTTTGCCACCATTTTTACAAACACCTTATTAATTGATAAAGCTTTTGATTGCAGAGTGTCTGATGTCCCTCCTGAGATTAGTCTAATGATGCCTGACATTTATATACGTACAGTAATTACATAGTTCAAAGCATATTCCCGGGCTCTTCTACTGTATGTTATCCGATAATAGTCTCATACATGCTCATTAAAGTCTTCTTCTTCTTATGTTCATGTAACATCACAAAGCAGTTTGTAGCCCCTTCTCTCTGATCTCACAACCGGAAGGCCTCAAACTAGCCTACTTAACAGGAGCAAATGATTTCTATGGTCGAGCGATTTTGTGATAAACAATCCTTTCTTTTGTTGGTGCTACAAAAACTCTTACTGGAAAGTTGTCACAAGGCATTTTCATATATGTAAATATCCATATTCTGTTCCTTCCTTGGACTGTACAATTGTTATGCTTACACTTATACTTATATCCCCTTTGTACTGTGAAACCTGCTCGTTCTCTCTATATTTCAGTCTCAACAGCTTATTCCAAAGGGCTGTAGACCACTTCCACCCCCATGTCCCCTACACCTATACACCGCCTGGTGCCATCACATCCCACCTCACCTCTCCACCCCTCTGATTGTCCTCAGCAAAACAATCTTCAATGCTCAGGCAGTTGTCAACATTAATACTTCACAGTCCTCTAACCTGGATCATCACTATCAACAGAGCAGCAAGCAATGCAATGTATAAGTTACTCAGTTTATGTGGAAGGACAGCTCACACACCCAGAAGCACGTTTGCATGCTCTTTCTCTGTTTTGAATTCTGAGCCCATTCTACTTGTACACTGCAAAAAATGACCCTTGTTGTCTCGAATGGGTCAGGTTGTATCCGGTTGTGGCTGACCATAATATAGCCTTCCTGAGACATTTGAGATACTGTAAGTGATGCTTTTCATACATATTTTTACAAAACCAAATTCAAATATCTTAAGGTTCTCCAAATTGTGCTCTGGTTAACAGCAGGTTTTTATAACCTACAAATTGCACATCTATTGCTGCAGAGTTGTTATTTATAATAATTGTAATTCCTTTAGATGGCTTTGATTTTCAGGAAAGGTAATTGTACAACCTTTTTTTTGCTGCCCACCTCTTGACATGTTTTATTTTTATTTATATGTAGGTATCTTTATAAAACTGCCTTTCTGAAGAGATGTATTTTTTTGTTTATGTTCTACTAATGGAACATGTTTTTCTGCTGCGGAGAAACTAAGATATGATACCTTAGTTATGATAAAACAGAACTCTTTTTATAGGGATGAAAATGGCTATGTATGAAATGTATGAGCAAGTGCAGATATAAAACCTGATCAATAAATAATCCAAAGTCTTCTAAAACAGTTCACTATTTGAATTTTCCAAATATGTGCTATTATATCGGACAGGCTTTGCCCTTATTTATGTATACTAACTATTGGGCCTTTTTTGTGCAGGCTTTTCCTAATATTTTAAAGGTCCCATGTCATGCTTTTCTGGTTATTACCCGTCCCCTTGTGTGTTATGAAGGTTTTTCTGCATGTAAACGGTCTGCAGAGTCAGAAACCCTCAAAGTACACCCTGTAGCGAGTAAAACTCTAACACAGAAAAGTCCTGTCTATGCTGCCCCAAAACGCAGCGTTGGAGATTTATCTTTTTCCATTGTTTTCTTCCTGGGTACAGTGACGTGCCCATACCCAAATGGACCCATTGGTCCAAATGGACCAATCCGTGGAGCCGTTACGTTAAGTTCCTCACACACACAGACTCAATCTTTTCTCAGCTGCAGCTCCGCCAATTTCTCCTCCTTGAGACGGCGGGACGCGGCGAGGCTGTGAGTCTGTGTGTGAGCACACACACAAACTCCCAGCCAGGCTGCGGGTGTGTGCTCGGGCTGGTTTCGGGCTGGTTTCGGGCTGGGTTTCGCTGTGTCTCGCTGTCTCGCAGACGGCCATGGGCTCACAGGGAGGGGGGGGCAGGAGCTCCAACAAGCCGTTTAGGACAGAGAGTGAATACACTATACAGAGATGCTGTATGAGAAACCAATATGAGTTTGGAAAATTGCACAATATAAATCTATTCTAGTAGACCTCGACAATGGAATTATGATCAGTAGAAATGGCCATGACATGGGACCTTTAATACTCAGTAAGTCTAAAAACCACTTCAAATTGACTTTTCTTGCAGTGTGTATCTCACGCTAACCCCCCTCCCTGCCTCCGCCCTCTACTTCGATGTACTTTGAGTCATTGTGATTGGCTCACGTTTCATGTCCATCAAAGCTGTGTGGGCGGGACTCAAACAATCCACTCGTGCTCCCTTCACTGAGGATTGTGCGCCACAGCAGACAGTAGTACAGCAGCGGCAGCATCCACTCTGTGACCGGAGGACAACTACTGCTGTTGTTCACTCTCCCGCAAACTGAGCCTGTAGCCAACCGCTGGTGCATCCTTGAAATTGTTATTTTTTAGGAGCGAGCATATTTCTGCTTTCAAAAGTAACACAGTTTTCCGTTCGTGAAGTCGGTTGTGCCTTTTCCCTGAGACACACAAAAGACGCACTCCCAAGTCCACCTGGATAGCTGACAGAGCAGTCCGGTCTGGTTCGAGGTCCAGTGGGGAGAGACAGAGAGGAGAAGTTAGCCCGGAAGGCAAGAGGAAGAAACAGAGAAGCCAGGATGAATCAAAAGAGTCATTTGATTTTCACCCTCTACACTATTTATGGGATTCTTCTGAAAGGTGAGTCTGGGACAAGTGGTGCGTACATGCGGGTGTTTTGTGCATACTGTGTGTGTGTACTCGTGCATGTTACAGGCCAACAGCAGGGCAGGATGGAGGGACAACAGCACGCGCGGTCACAGTCACACCACACGCGGGTCCTGGCAGAAACATGCGGACCCCCCTCTCTCCCTCACCGGGTTTCTCATTCTCCAGCATGTGTGTTTGTGCGTGCGCGGGTGTGTACGTGCGTTGAATGTACGTGCATGTGCAAACGTGCGTCTCAGGGTACAGCTCGAGGAGAGCGAGAGAGCTGGTCCTCTAACATCCTAGATCCCTTGTGTGTTAATGTTCCGGAATGAGGAGGATACTATTTTCATAATTGTGTGCTCGGGGCACGACCCGAGCAGTGGCTGTGAAGCCAAACAGAGTGGTGCGACTCCTGAGTCTGCGATGTGCGTGAGTGCCAATGAAAGAAAAAATGAGCCCGCTAGGAAGACACACCTTTACATGAAGTAACCAACCCCGCGGTTGTTTTTGACGTGCAGCACTTGGATGAGTCACGGAGACACGGGCAGCCTTTTACGCACCGAACAGTTTGATGCTGCTGCTGATAACGGCAGCTTTATATGCACACACAGCATTTTGACTCTAATCTCTTTTGTTTTCTGTTATGAATTTACCCTCTGTTTTCTCTGTGCAGGCGTGGTGTCTGTGGACATAGTGCGCACAGTCATCTCTGGTGTGTTGTGTGCCTGCATAAAGGTTTCAGGGAAGGCTATTGTCAATGAACAGGTGCATGATTAGGAGGACAGGCTTTCCCATTACTTTCTGAGAAGTTGATTTTTCTGTGTGATAGCTGATGTAAAGGTCAAGCTTCTCTCAGATTATGCCTCATATAGCCAACATGCACAACAATGTACCAGTGATTATTACTGTGCTTACAGTAACCCTTAGCAAGGAAATCAACTTGACAATGGCTGATGTAAATGTGAATAACATTTCGATCTCATAACTGTTTGTGATAATATCAAGATAAACAGTGTTGTTTACAGAAGATAGGTATGTAAACATTAGATTAAGGTGACATTGGGGTCAAGGTCACATGGTTGCCATGTCTGTAAGTGGTTCAGTGAGATATCAGCATATCAATTAAAGTGGAACTACAATACATACATTGCACTGCAATATCATAAAATGGCATACATTTTCTTTTGTCTAAACCAGCCCTGTATACAATATTATATATGCTTATATTTTCTATTCTCCGCCTGTCTTAAACATATAAAGTATCAACAGAGTAGAGGATGTGAGCCAACACAGCAAGGAAAGAAAATTCTGGGGCTTTGATGGTTTTGATCAGTGAATACAAGACTGATTTTTTAATTCAACCATCATTAGAAAACTCTCTTTTTACATCACGCTATTTTGATGATGCAATGCGGAGGGTTTGCATAATACATTTTTGTTCCAGAATAGTTCCATATTTAAGAAATGTTATAGAAAGATGCCGGAGTACAACCCAGTGGCATGTTTTGTGATCTTTTTTCACTTCACTTTAAACACAATACAGTGTTGAGTACTGGATTGCATTCACGTGTTGAGGCATCCAAGGAAATCAATAAGATTTGTAAGAAGTTAAAGAGGGAACACTTCGTATTGAGTTGCTGGACTGTCAGTGGCAGGAGGGTGATGGATTTAGTCGGAAAAAAACTGTCAGTCTAACAGCAGGGCCACTTATGCTGCGCTGAGCTCCAGTTTGTGATATAAAGTCCACTTTATCCCACTCAAATTACATCAAGATGTATTTAAGGCATTTGATAACAGATTTATTAACATGAAAGTCTTGACTTAAACCAGCTTTCCACACGAGTAAATCCCAAAGGAGAGATCACTTGATTCCCTTGATAATTTGTTGTTCTCTCTTTGAAGTGTGTGAGTGTGTGTGCATATGAGAGTGAGTGAGAGCAGTCCTTAACAACCAGCCATGATTAAGGCCACCCTTGACTTAATGAATTGATATGTAATGAGTTATCTTAGGGTATCTGATATATCTGACAGCTCGCACTGCAGCAATTATTGACGTTTCAGGGCTTCTCTGTCCCCCTTTATTCTCCTAAGGGTGGCACATTCATTATGGGAGTGTGTCTGTGTGTTCTTGTGTGTGCTTATTACCTTGCAAATGAGTGCCACGTTTCTATAGTTCAAGTCTGGAATGGCCTACGCAATGACAAAAACCATGCTGTTAACAGCCGAGCGCACTTCGGATCCGTTTCCACACACCCTCACATCAGTCTCTTTCTCTCTCCCTGCCTAACTCTGAAGGGGATAATGTTAGGCTGCTTGATTTGAACAGTCATCTCGCAGTGCAAGACCTATTATTGTATAGGTTCCACACAGCAGGCAGGTCAGCCTCCCTCTGAATGAAGTCTATCTAGCCGCAGCCGTATCCGTGCGCTCTGTAAATGGCAGCTGTTTCAGCCCCTCTGGCCCGGTGCCACCTGGCATCAAGACATCCAGACACACTGCATCTCTGTCACCGACTAGACCTGCGTCGTGTATATATATATATATATATAGTGTGAACGTGAAGTGTTTTGATGGAGGTTGTTGTTTACCAACAGCCCGAGTTGTTAGCATATTATCCAGTGTGTCTCGTGTGCCCATGCCGGATTCAGAGAAAACAGCCTGTTATGCAAATGGACCTCTTACGTAATAGCCCGGGGCTGCGCGGCAGGCGAGGGGAGATGGAGGCAGGAGAGCAGCAGAGAAAGAGGGAGATATTCTAGAATAGAGGACTTGATGTTAGAGTGACGTGGGAGGAGAGGTGTGGAGGAGGAATGTGCAATCTTCTCGGCTAAAGTGTGCAATATGTGTGCACTGGTTGTTGTTTGCTGTTAGGATGGCTGTTTATCGCTCTGCCTGCCTGGTAGTCCGTCTGTTTTGAACTCTGATCTTGCTAGCCTAAATACAAACCCCCGCTGAGGGATGTATTTATCCCTGCAGTGAGTCTAAGCTGCTGTAGGCTGACCCTCCATCCCTCTGTACTTCCGAGCATTCCTCCCTCGCCTCATCCTCCCATCCTGGTGTGGAGCTTTGTACCACAGCAGCGTGGGAAAGCTTCCGATAACAAGCGGCCTTGTGTGTGTGTGTGTGGTGTGTGTCTGTGTGTGTGTGTGTGTGTGTGTTTGCAGAGCCACTGATTACATGGGAGAAACAAGGTGCTCTCTCTTTCTCGCTCACTTGCACTCACCCTCCCACTTCTATGTGTTTCATTTTCATGGACACGCTTTGACGGGTGGAACATGTGACGTATTCTGTACCTTACACAGAAGCCATACACCTTCAATGCTGAAAATCTTTAGTAGAGCAGAACTGGGCATCACACAGACACACACACACACGGAGCCCCACTGTGGATTCATTGCTGCCCTGCCAAGGGATTTCCCATGATCAAAGCCAGTCTTTTGTTAGTCCAGGTGTTGAAAAAGTTAAAACAGAAAGAAGGAGGAGGCTGGAGGGGAACGTGGGATTCAGAGCTTACACACTCTTCATGGCAGAGCAGAAATGTGCTGCTCCAGAAACACTTCCAGGGAACCTGCCACTTGTTCCAATTCTTTCTCATATCAGTAAACATGCGGGGCAGGTTTTGCTTGGGAATGTACAGCAATGACAAGTTGAAAACAGACGCTCTCAAAGTGTATTTAGACATAGGGATGAAAGGACACAGGAAGAGGCAGGAGGCCAATCATTGTTAAGCTCAATACACATGTAGTGGCATATGGTAGATATTCACAAGTGGCAAAAACAGAACCTAGACAAGACACTATGGAGGAGTGAGAAGTTTTAAGCTTTATGTAAATGTTATCCTATGTGCACAGCTCAGCTCCTAAACCAGCCTGTGGAAATACCCTAAGCTTTAATGAGCCTGCAAAATATGATGCTCACAAATGCAGCATCACAGAAAGATCGGACATTATTTTTGTACTTCAGACATACTTAAAGGTGGGGTAGGTAAGTTTGAGAAACCGGCTCGAGATACACTTTTTGTTATATTCCATGGAATGCTCTTAACATCCCGATAGCAATGAATATCTTAAAGTGCTTTGACAAAAAATCCATAAAAAAATGTCATCTGAGGAAGCCGTAGTACTGTAAAAAGCACGACCAATCATTTTAGCCGGCCCGGCTAAAGTAACTGGATGGCCTACCTGCCTGTCAGCCTTCCATCTGTGCACAAACTTATCTCGTGCCCTCATTGGTCATGTGCGCGTTCGTGTGTGTTGGAGGAGGGGCTCTGTAAGGAAGTGGCAGATTTTTTCCGGCTGTGTATTTTCAAATTCTAGCGATCTCGAGCTGGTTTCTCCAAAATTACCTCCCCCACCTTTAAGACATACTTCATTTTAAATGTGCCCATTACTAAACATCTCCCAAAGCTACATATTCAGTGTATTGCAAGATTCAGCCTGGCTTTATGTTTGAACACACTGATATGAAGACTCTTGTCTCTTGTCTTCAGAGAATATGGCCTTACAACATGTCTAGGTGTCATATATTGTGTCCAGGTCCCCAGCACAACACACAGTCACTCTGTTTACTCAATTCTGCAGGATAGGGCTTTACTGATCCTGGCATGAATCTGCTGGAAATGGAATACATCCTCTAAGGAGTAAATGACTGTGAGATGGCACTGACGCACCATCATGGATGACTGCCTTACTCGCTTCACATTTCAAGCATGCAAAACCAAAAATATCTATAATTATGTTGTCAGGCTTACATTCAAGAACATGTCCCATTTATAACATACTAATTCTAATACATAGTCTATAATTTGAGCCTAAGTGCTAGGTATTATCTAATCGAATCCTATGTTGGTGGTGCAGTGAGCTAATAGCTTCCTGGTTACAAATACAGAACATGTCAGACACATTGCTAATCCGTAAATTAACATTTTTTGTCGTGATTCAATGCAGAGTTAATTTAGATTTTTATTTTGGCATCAAGGCTGCGTTTCATGT